AATGGGGCCCACCTATAACGAACTGCCTTTAATGGGGCCCACTTATAACGAACTGCCTTTAATGGGGCCCACCTATAACGAACTGCCTTTAATGGGGCCCACTTATAACGAACTGCCTTTAATGGGGCCCATCTATAACGAACTGCCTTTAATGGGGCCCACCTATAACGAACTGCCTTTAATGGGGCCCACCTATAACGAACTGCCTTTAATGGGGCCCACCTATAACGAACTGCCTTTAATGGGGCCCACCTATACGGAAATGCCTATAAATATAACACCACCTATCCCGAAATGTAAGCGGGAGCCGACTTACACAAAACGGCCAATACATTTGAACCGACATTTACTGAAGTGCCTATATCACAATGCCAGCACATTGGATCCATTGACGTTGTCACACATAGCTACATTCCCTGTACATCTTTTCAGTTGAATGTATACTTGTGTTAATTGCTTCTCGCAGCACACTGACGACTTTCGGTCAGATTATCTCAACATCACATCAACACTCGGTCTCAAGCCAGCTTATTTTGCGCCGTTAGTTTATGATGCCGTGTGGTCTATAGCTTATGCACTGAATACAACTAGACAACGTTTACCGCCAGGCAAGGCATTGGAAGACTTCACGTATGAAGATTCGGAAATGGCGGAAGTGATCACATCTGCCGTATCACAGACGAGTTTTATTGGCGTGTCCGTAAGTATCCTGTCTGAAATAACCTGGGGGACTCGATACCCAAAATATTTATGTTAATAATGACGTATGTTAACAATGGTATTTATCAGATACCTCTTCCTTTTAATTGAAGAGAGCATATTCCCCGAGGAGTTTACAGATATTCAAACGTCTATAATTCGTTATATATTGACTTTCGACTGTGTACGTGTTGGTGGGATGGTGGCGTACACAGAAAGGCAGAAACTGACGCGAAAAATCATCCATCCATAAATTTAAGACTATAAAGTAAAGTAAATGTATTGTATTCTAATGTGAAATTGTATATACGCAATGCACTGTTATCTACACAGGGTCCTGTATCATTCAATAGCGTTGGCGATAGGATAGGTACCGTCATGATCTACCAATTTATTAGTAAGTAAATAATTCAGGTGTTGCTTTTCACTTTTCATATTTTTTTAAATTGTGAGTTTAATTTTTACGAGGCATGCTTTAAGGTAGCGAGAAGGGAAATTTTCACTTTTTTCTTGATTTTTCAAAAATTGATAAAACGGTTACTTTAGACCTTGATACATCACCCCAGGTTTACAAAAGATCGAAATTGCGAAATAACGTTGCTCAAATTAGTGTTTTAAAACACTAGCAGAAAAGACTACAACTGCCGTTTCGTGGATATTTGCATAGTGTTTATCTTTGGAAGGAATTAAATGATAACATCTTATCTGTATACTCTGTTGTTGACGATTCTGATATAACGGGTGATAAGCTTCCAGTTGCAAACAATGCGTGTTTATCTAACGTCCATTGTCAGCATTATTGTCAGTCGAGACTTCGTCGGAGAAACATGGTCATACAGTACTCATTTCGCCCAACCTTCCGCTTTTACATCGACCGCTTATCGCTTAATTTCCGACCACGCGGTCTTGTCTGACCGGAAACCGACCGCATTTTAATCGCGTTTTTTTTTTCGCTCGCTCGCTCATTGAAAACATTGACCGCTCGCCCAAACACTGAAAACTGGCACATGGATGGTCGAAATGGTGGGTTTGATAGTAAAGTGTGAACATACAACTAGTATTAACTATTATTACATTCTG